TGAAAGACAGATAGCAGACATTCTCACCAAATCAATATAGATCAATGATGGTTCTTGGCCATCAACACACTTGATATTTAGGCTTTAAAAGATCATTCTTGTTGGCAATATGTAAAGATGATGGATGGTTTTGCTCCTTGGTGCCAACCAGACACTTGGACTTGCATGTTTACTCGCTGTTGGGCTTCAACCAGACCCAGCATGGGTCTCTCTGCTCTAAAACTAGTTCAACCCCAAAGATAAAAGTAAAACTAAAAAAAATCACACTCCTAGCTACACTGGAACACTTTTCAAAAAGTGTAATTTTCATAAAATGGTGACCACATAGGAGGCAAACATTAAGGGTCCCAACCAGTTTCCATGAAACTTTCTGTTGGGGCTCAGCAGGAAGATTCTGGGGATTTCTCAGCAGACGAGGGGGATGATGGGCTTCCCACTGAGGAGACTGTGCGTGAGCAGAGTTAATTGCAGGCTTTAGATCAGAGACAAGGGCCAGCAGTTGCAGTTCAGACAAAGGATGCTTGGGATTCTAATGTTTGTTCCTTGGCAACTGGAGAAAAGTCCATTTCTCTTGGGAATCAACCTTCAACAGAAGATGGGGAGTTTTCCCATGATATCAGATTAGGCCTCCACTCAGAGGGAGTGGAGGATAGATTAATTAGACATTCAGAAAGACCTTGAGATCGAGGTGTCAAAAACATGACTTCATGTTTTCTAGATTGAGCCTGAGCTTAAATTAAGTGATGTTTACTTGGTGTCTCCAGAGCAGACAATGTTGTCATATATTCAAGTTCCTGTTTCAGCTCTCAAGCTCATGAGTCAAGTCTCCCATGTTGGTCTATGATCTTGTAAGACTTTTTGCCTTGGAAAAGTTCCTGTTTTCATGCTTTTGGATTTATGCCTATGATCTTGACTTCTTGGATTTCGTGTACCTTGCTATTTTGGACTGCCAAACTTTGTATAGCCACCAAAACACTGCACTTGGAGGACCATCATCCTCGGACTATGACTCCGACCCTGTTTACCTCTCCGAACGTATTCTCCCCTATGAACCATCAAGATTATTAAGATCGTCTGGAGAGGCCCTGCTCTCGGTCCCACCGGCCTCACAAGCGGGTTTGGGGGGGACAAGGGATAGGGCCTTCTCGGTGATGGCTCCTCGGCTCTGGAACTCTCTCCCACCGGAGATCAGAACTGCCCCTTCTATCCTGACATTCAGGAAGCAGGTGAAGACGTGGTTATGGAGACAGGCATTTGATGAGTGAGCCAATACCCTGAGATATGGATGGAGGATGATGAACATCAAATTTAGTGGGACGACTGACCATTGTATTTATTGAATGTAATTGCTGTTTTGCTGTTTTAATGTTTTAATGTTTTATTTGAACATGAAGTATATGAAGTATGATGTTTTATTGACTGTATGTATATTATGGTTGGAAACCGGTCTGAGTCCCTCAAGAGAGGTGAGAAGGTCGGTATATAAAACTTTTAAATAAATAAATAAATGAGGGATCACATATCTAAGTAATATGGACTACTGCTATTTATAACATCTTTCTTCTGCTTTTTGGGAAATGCCCCTTTTCCCTTTTATAGATGCTTTTGTAAATAAACTGATGTCGTTAGAACTGGAATCTGGTGTGGTGCTGGGTGAAAAGGTGCTCTCAAGGCAAGGCTGCATACTTTAGATCTATTTTTTACATCTCTCTTGTAGTTTGAAGCCATTGTTCTGTGTCCTAGTTCTGCTTCCTTGGAGACTAGGATGCGGAACAATGGCTTCAAACTACAAGAGAGGAGATTCCATCTGAACATGAGGAAGAACTTCCTGACTGTGAGAGCCGTTCAGCAGTGGAACTCTCTGTCCCGGAGTGTGGTGGAGGTTCCTTCTTTGGAAGCTTTTAAACAAAGGCTGGATGGCCATCTGTCAGGGTTGATTTGAATGCAATATTCCTGCTTCTTGGCAGGGGGTTGGACTGGATGGCCCATGAGGTCTTTGATTCTATGATTCTATGAAAGTCCACCTCTACTATTCTCTCTCAACATGTCAAATTATAGTGACTAATATTTCTTATTGCAATTTAAATAGGGTTATAACAGACTTTTAAGACTTCAGGGAAAGGTCTGCAGCACAGAGGCAGCGTCAACACCCAGCAATTGTGTTCCAACTACAATTAATGAGTTGGAAACATTCGAGCAACTGATCCACAGAAAACATCTCCAAAGGGCAAACAAACACACAAGCAAAAAGTGGAGATTTAGTGCTATTGCCTGAAGGATATTTGACAAGAGCCTGTGAACAATCTCAGATCAAGGTACTAATAATCTGGGCAGAAAGCGTTGGACAGAATGCCTTTGCCAAAGGCAGCCGTCTTACATTCTGTCATATTCTGGAGTCTGGTTGGGTTCTTAAAAAACTAAACCCACTGGCTACAGATGTAATTTCAAGGAGAATGGCAGCTTCATTGGAGCCTGGGAAAGTTCCACATTTATTTGTAGCTCAAGTCTGGTTTCAGACAAGGCTGTGGGACAGAGATGGCATTGGTCACCTTGGTGGATGATCTACGAAGAGAGCTAGATAGGAGAAGGATGTCCTTACTGGTTCTCCTGAATCTTTCAGCAGCTTTCGATACCATTGACCATGGAATCCTTCTGAGTCATCTCTCCGGGATAGGGCTTGGGGGCACTGCTTTGCAATGGCTCCGGTCCTTCCTGGAGGGTTGGACTCAGAAGGTGGAGCTGGGGACTCCTGTGGGGTCCCTCAGGGCCCCATTCTCTCCCCCATGCTGTTTAGAATTGACATGAAACTGCTGGGAGAGATTATCTGGAGTTTTGGAGCTTGGTGTATGTGGATGACACCCAACCCTATTACTCCTTTCCACCGAATGGCAAGGATGTCATCCTACCTTTAAACCAGTGCCTATCATCAGTAATGGACTGGATGAGGGCTAATAAGTTGAAATTAAATCCAGGCAAGACAGAGCTATTCCTAGTCAGTTGGAAGGCGGATCAGGGTGTGAAATAACAGCCTGTGTTGGATAGGGTCACACTCCCCCTAAAGTCACAGGTTCCCAGTTTGGGGTGCTCCTGGACTCAATGCAGGAACCCCAAGTGTGTGCCAGCTGCAGCCATATCTCAAGATGCAAGATCTGGCCATAGTAGTCCATGCCTTTGTCACATCCCATCTAGACTACTGCAACACTCTCTACATGGGGCTGGCTTTGAAGATAGTTCAGAAATTGGCAGCCAGATTACTAACTGAAGCACCGTATCGTGAGAGGACAATTCCGATATTACGGCAGCTCCATTGGCTGCCGGTCTGCTTCCAGGCTAAATACAAAGTGCTGGCTATTACGTTTAAAGTCCTAAACGACTCGGGTACAAGCTATTTGACTGATCATATCTCCTCCTATAAGACTACTCGGGCACTGTGATCAGCGGAAGAGGCCCTGCTCTTAGTCCCACCCCCATCTCAAGCACTGTTAGAGACCCTAAATTGGGTCTTCTTAGGTCCATGCAGTCACGGGAACACGTAAGGAAGGAGACAGTCCCATAAGAGATCAAAAAACAAGGTTTATTTTAATTTCTTCATGAAGAAGACGGACAGCCTGGTAGCATGCGCAGATGCTACCCTTCAAGTGACTGCCGCCTCTTCTTGGCTTTTTACCACCAATATATAACCTCAAGTAAACAAGAACATTWTTTTTGTCATGGAAAGTACTCTCTTTCCWGCCCCCTCCYTTGACCTTTTGATGGAAAGTACCTTCTTGTACCTGCAGACTCTGYGCTTCAAAAAACAACCTTTGAACTTAACCACAATACWACTTCCGAYCTCTACATGTCACATCTTGTTTCTTAAAAACATTTTCTTCTGTGTTGCTCTTTTTAAGTCAGAGAAAGKGTATGTTTCTCTTTTGTTGTTAATTTCATTCAAAGCCCCTTGCTTAGCATSCTTCAGCACAACTGGTGGGAATGAGAGAGGGCCTTCTCCGTGGTTGCCCAAAGAAGTAACTTTCCCAAATTCAGAAAGCAAAACATGTTGCTGGATAAAATAGAGGCAACTCTTACTTGACAGCATCTCCGAAATGAAAACCTTCCAAGGAGAACTTTCTCCTCAACTTTACGCCCAAAACAACGCAAACACTCGCTTTCTTCTCAGGAGAGAAATGAAGTAAAAAGGAATAACAGTTCTCAAATACGGACTGCAGTAGCTGTGACAGCAGAGCAGCAGCAATTTACAGTCAGAGTGAATGCGGAAATTGTTCACTGCTGCTTGGAAAGGGCCAAAGCTACTCATTATGAGTTTCTTACGAAGGTGAAAAGAGGGCAGGCATCGCTTCACACCCTGCCCCTGTTGCCTACTTTCTAAAGAAGGCTGGTTTTGAAAGCCTCTCTGCATAACCTCCCAAAGTCTGCACAATAGTAAGGAGAGTCTTTTGAAAAGACACAATGATGAAAGCCTCCAAGGTAGAAGGCTTCGGTTTGTACGATGCTGTACCAACGGACATGTTTTTCAGAGGAAGAATCGACTGACACCTGCTTGACGGGCGTGCACAAACTTTAAAAGGCACCGCGACATCCGTTGTCCCATTGCCTTGTCTTTATTTGAGCGAGTATCATATGAGACAAGAGCCCCGTTGACAACACTGAAGCCTTCGATTTATATACCCGGAGGAAAAAGAGACAAAAGGTATGCTGGAGTTGTCCCATTTGTCATCTAGTGTTCTTGCCCTCGAGAGAAGAGATCCAAACTCCTCTAGGGCACACTTTGCTGCTCTTGGCAATTTGAAAGAGAATTTGGCTACACAACATTCAGATGTTAGGTTTTGAAGAGCGACAGAGTGCACACTCTGATATACACACATCCCAGGGATGTGAAATATCTTTTGCAGAAAGAGACCAACTAGAAGCGGGAAAAGGGGAGAGAAAAGGGATGCCTTTGAGGCGGCGCTTGGAGTGCCAATACCCAGAGCAGGAAGAGGAATGGGGATGTCACTCACCATGACGGAGATGTGAAGAATGTGCATCTGCTCTTCCACAATCTCGGAAGGTTCCTGCAGGGTCGGCGGTGTGGCCCGAGAAAGCTGCTCGGCGCTGCTCATCGAAACGTGGAAATACAGGGTGCCGTTCTCCAGCCACTGCTGCTTCCAGTGCACCAAGGAAATGTCAGACCCCGTTCCTGACATCTCTGCAAGAAGAGAAACATTGAAGTAATATTGCTGAACACGCTTCTCAATTGAAATAAAAATCTCCCAGCAACCCTCCTTTGGATGAGCCACGAAAGCTAAAGTATACATGTCTGCATGCACACAGGTAGATCACCAATCACTTGCAACCCTTTTGGACAGTGATGCTACTACACAGAGAAGCCATTGAAATACACAAGCATGTGGACAATTTCAACAGAAAGGAGGAAATCATGAAAATGAACAAAATCTGGCTACCAGTATTAAAAAAAACTCTAAAATTACAGCAGCACAACAACAGAGAGGAAACAAACAAGGACATCTAATCACCTCTCAACAAAAGTTTGCTCCAGGCACTGTCAGGCCATTATATGCTGATCAAGGTGGTCAGTTGAAACATTCACACCTAGCTCCAGCAGACAAGAGTCCTTTGTCCCACCCAGGTCATTCCACAGATATATAAACCCATTTTCCTAGTTCCAACAGACCTCACTACTTCTGAGGATGCTTGCCATAGATGCAGGTGAAACATCAGGAGAGAATGCCTCTAGAACATGGCCATACAGCCCAAAAAAACCTACAACAACCCAGTGATAGATCTGTACCCAAATGTAAAGACTGGTGGAGTTTGGGGAAAATAGACCTTGACATTTGAGAGTTGTAGTTGCTGGGATTTATAGTTCACCTACAATCAGAGCATTCTGAACTCCACCAATGATGGAATTGAACCAACTTGGCACACAGGACTCCCCTGACCAACAGAAAACACTAGAAGGGTTTGGTGGGCATTGGCCTTGGGTTTTGGAGCTGTAGTTCACCTACATCCAGAGAACACTGTGGACTCAAATAATGATGGATCTGGACCAAACTTGACAGGAATACTCAATATGCCCAAATGTGAACACAGATGGAGTTTGGGGGAAATAGACCTTGCCATTTGGGAGTTGTAGTTGCTGGGATTTATAGTTCACCTACAATCAAAGAGCATTCCTAACCCCACCAACGATGGAATTGGGGCAAACATCCCACACAGAACCTTATGACCAACAGAAAATTCTGTGTTTTCTGCAGGTCTTTGGTGATCAACTCCCTTCAACAGGGTAAGAAAACATAATCAAAGCCTTCCTGACAAAGGGCCATCCATCCAGCCATTCACACACACACACATATGTATATGATAGATGCAGTATCAAAGATTTGAAAGGGACCCCTAAAGAAGGACGATTATATGTTGAACGTTCCAGAGTAGGCAAAGCAGACACACCACATCAACACTGACAAAGAAACAGCAAGAAATACTGTTTACCCACAAGCATAAAGACATTACATATATTAGAAACCAGCACTTTCTCATTACTTTATTTTCCAGGTCACCAGACTGAGCCTAGATGTCAGCAAAGGGGTTAAAAAGAATCCTATTCTGCCCATTACTGGGAGGGAGGACTTCCCACAGGCTCCCTGCAATAAGATGAGGGACAACACACACACACACAAGACAGGACAGTGGGATGCTACCACTGTATATTATATATTTCTTTGCTGTCACCAATGTATTATTAAGGTTTCTTTTACCGCCACCATTTATTGATTCATATGCCACCTCCTTCACTAGAATGTTCAAGAAGACATACAAACTCTTCAGGTGAAATAAAACAAGAATATGAGGTTTATTTTGTTATTGAACAGTAAAGATATGCAGTGGTTTCAAAAAACTGTCAGGATTTACTTGTACAGAGAATGGTTTTATATCACAAGTTTCTTAAAAACAAAGTTCCACAGACAGGAATACAAGCAGGTTGTTTTAAACCTTTTGAATCCTCTCTCCACACCAGCACTCTAAAACTATAGAGGCTCACTAGTTTCTTAATCCTTCTACATGGAGGCTTTAATTACTTTCCTCAAAGAGGTATCTTTTCCAATAACAGTTCCCAAACTCTTCCTTCCTTTTCCCTTCAAATCTCCTAAACTAACTCTTCAAACTCTGAACTCCAAACCCCAACTCCAAACTGACTAAGCTCTGGCTGCATTAGCTCCTTCTTGCCCAAGAGAAATGGGAATATACAAAAACCAGTTGCAGAACAGGTCAATCTTACTAGAAATTCCAAGTCAGACTTCAGAACAGCAGTCCTTGTAGAAAACAAAGCAACAAAACCAAACAACAAGGAAACAAACAATAATATAAAACCCAACTATAATGGAAAATTGGGAAAAGGGCTACTAGAACTGAAATAGTATATTCACTATTTACAGTCCACTGAACTGAACAGGGATAATAGTTTCTTGGTACACAGTAGATATCATGACATTAGTTAAGACCCAGCCTAATTAGGACTCTTTTGCCTATTTTATCATGGTGGTGCAATGAGTTAAACCCTTGGGCTGCTGAACTGCTGACTTGAAGTTCGGCAGTTCAAATTCATGAGACAGGGAAGGCTCCAATCTGTCAGCTCCTGCTCTTGCCAACCTAGCAGTTTGAAAACATGCAAATGTGAGTTAAATGAATAGGTACAGCTTCGGTGGGAAAAAGCAAAGAGACGCCCCAAACAATCTTGTCAGCCACACAACAAGGAGGTGACAATGCAGGCGCCTCAACTTGAAAATTGAGAAAAAGCACCTCCCCAGAGCCAGAGATGAGCACTGCCTCCAGAAACCAGAAATGAAAGAAGAGGC